TTCAACTTATTTCAAATAAAAGCCCCAAACTGAAAGCTCAGATTTTCATGGTTCTGGGTCTTAAAAAACAGTGTGTGGTAATAAATGCATTGTAAATTGTCTGCTAAATTCTCAGAGAAGCTTGATTTGCTTTTCTACATTATCCAAGATATTTTAAAAAACATTACCGTAAAAAGGAAATATTGGAGCTTATTTTAATTTTGGAAAAACACCTTAAAGTGGGTATCAAATATTAAATCAAACCACTTTACTGCACATCCTTTGAATCATTTAAAGTCAGCACAAACGTTATAACGTGATGAAACCAATAGCCAATTCTTATATAATAAAAGCAAGATCTTGACAACATTCCAGAGGCTTCAAAAACAAATTATTGTTTTAAATTGAGTTTCAACAGACCCAAATCCCCTATGCGCCGCAAACTCAGTCAGTTCTTAATGGCTGCTCTCTGCTTTTCTCTCCCTTTGAGCCCCAGCATCTGTCCCTTCGTGATCCCCTCAGCAAGGACTTCAATTAAGAAACTATCTGCAGCTCAGGGCACCACACCAGCCAACATCTGCCAACATCACAGCAAGAGTCAGATATCCTGACAAATGCCTCCTGCCATCAGTGCTCCATTCTCAACACTCATTGTTTGGGGAATGAATGTGTGCTGTTACAGAGAAATATCTGCCTTACAGTACATGACACCAACAGAGCTATTATAAATTAACCTAATAATTGTTTTCAGGCTGTGCAACTGCTATGCCATGATTACCTGACATGATGCAATGCATCCAAAAATGCTTGAGGAAACTGCTCAGTTACATTTCAGTTGAGGATTATTGCTTGTTAATGTGCTGTTGTTTTTCTCATTAAAGATTTCAGAAGTTTATGAATGGAGTACAAAATAAGACCTGAAAAGAGATGTTTAACCTCCAGATAATGTTGATCATCAACCAGAGAAGGTTTTGTGAGATTCCATCATTTAAGACATGGAATGAAACATTTAATACCAATTTCACATATTACATAGAATATACAAAGTTTATAAGTTAGACACAGTTAAGAAGGACAACAATTCTCAGGTAAGACAGGCCAAAAATCACCATTATCAGAGATATTTAAAACGACTGATAAGGAGCTGAGCTCAAATTAAAAGAGCACTGATGGGGCTGCCAACAGGAAAGGTCAAAAGTTATTTGAAAAGCCATCCTGAAGTGGGACACTGAGATTGAAATGTGTGCAGAGCAGGGGGACGCAAGGAACAGGATTAAGAACCATTGCTTTAGAACATTGATTTTGAAACTTGTGAATCCATTAGAATCGTTAGAAGACAGAATCACGATTCATATATGGATAGATTGTTATGTGCACCTCTAGTTTTCTCTTCCTCTTCTCTAAAGCAGCACAGCATGGCCTCGCCCCCTTTGCTGCCTTTTCCCGAGGGCGGGGTTTATCTGGGTTTGTGATATCACGAACCTGGGAAGTTACTCGTTGTAGTCCCTACCAGCCGTTTTTGTAGGCATTAAACTGCCAGAATTTTAAAAGATGATATCTCCGTTTGCATTGATCTTTCAGCTTTGTAACTTTGCAGATATTGTTTATGCTCAAACAGCAACATTACACACTAACTAACGTGTGAAAAAAGTGAAATCGCAATGAACCACCCCTTTAAAAAAAAAAACTGCTATTAATGGCTACTTTTGTGTTCAACTGCCACAGTTCCTCTAGACACAGTAACTTGCCTGCTCAAGGACCTCTTCATTGATTTATACTCAAATAAATAAATGCAACAATGCCAGCATTAAGCACATGAAGGAAACAGCTATAGGCATGCTGTGAGTGGGGCTACTGCAACAGCCCTTGACCAATGTCAGCCGCCATAATAAATCCCCTTTCCCCAATGCAAATGAAATAACTATTCATCATTAAACCCAATATGAGCTGCAAGAACCCATTTATTCATGAAAGCTTTAGGCAAATCACTGCCAGAATCAGCACCATGCTGCTTCTCAGATACAAAATAACATCTAAAAATAAAAATGCTACGATGACAACTACAAGAACGAGACAAACTCAGACGGGTGTGCTAAAGAGTCCCAGCAGAGCAGGAACAGAGAGGCCCAAGATGAAGCTCTTACCTCCCAAAATTGGCAGGCAGGTATTCAAGGAAGGCGTCATTTAAGAAGAGCTGTGTCAAGTTGAGGAGCTGGGTGAAGCCGTCTGGGAGCCTGCAGGAACAGAGAGGTGATCAGACCCTCTCAAAGGCCAGTGCCCTTAAGATTTGATAAGCGTTAAGTACTTCAGGAGTGGTGAGAGCCATCTGTAATCCCTCTACGCTTCCCCTTCTACTGGCTCTGTTAGCATCCCGGTAAATGGAGTCACTTGAGGGCTGATTTAATCATAATATGAAGAAAAGGGTTCTCTGCAGAGACCATGCACTGGATCCTGAATGTTTGATCCTCTATCATAAACTTCTGAATCAAAGATTTGAAGCTCAGCTTAAGACTGAAGGCCAAACAAATACACTGAGATACAAAAATAAATGCATGTCTCATCTCTCCTTGAGTTGAGTTTGGTTCAGTTATAAGGCATGATGTCTACTTACAATATGCATTATTAATATACAAATGTGCTTTAGAATTCAAAACTACACTGAAAAAAATTATTCATTGAATTTACTCAATTTTTTCTAAGTGGTTGCAATCAATGTATTTTAGCTACATTTAAATAAACAAATTTAGTTGACTAACTTTCAACATTTTTTTATTTAAATGTAGCTAAAATAAATTGTTTGCAACCACTTACCTTTAAAAAAAATGTGTATAATTTTTTTCAGTGTATGTTTATTCATGGATTAAAAAAGAGAAAAAAACGTTATATGAAATATGAAAACATCTAGCTTTTGCATGTATGTTCACTTTATATTTTTATCCTAAGGAACACAGAAAAGGAAGGCAAATAATTGCCTTCATTTGAGAGTGAATAAACACAGCAAATCCATGTATGATATAATAAACAATTTCATATAGTGTTACTGTAGTTTGGAAATCCTCTTCAGGAAAGATAAGAGAAGAGATTTACATATTAATGCAATTATTTGAAGTGGTGTTAGATTGAAATCAGTATTGGTTTATTTCCTTAGTGGCTATAGTAGGTGTACAAAACAAAAGCTTCATCTCTTTACATTTTAAGGCAGTGTAAATGAAGAAATTTGAACAGAAATTCGAAAAAAAAAAGGCAAAATTAGTGACGCAACATGAACAAAAAAAAACATAACATGCTTTTTTTATTCTATTCTTTTTATGATTATTTTACATGCAGCTTTTATTATCTCACATTTAAGGGGTATGAAGTACTTAAAATTTAAACTAAAATCTATTGACATAAAATTCACATAAAATGTTAAATAAATATATATGGATTCGTCAACTACCTATACATATATAGATATACATATAATACAACAATTATCAAACATTACAGTTCTTTCTGATTTAAGAAATGTGAGCAGCTCTACTTACTTGGCTATAGGATTTACACTGGCCTCCACAACTGATAGACATTTACAGCATTTGATGTTGTCTGGAAACTCTTGAATACCTGAGATAAAGCCAGTTTTACCATGTTGATACAGGGTGCATGTGTACTGTATAAAAGTATAATCATACACGATCATACCAATATGCTCAGCACAAAAAATAGCTTGGACAAATAGATTTTAAAAAGCAAATATAGAACAAATGGGGTTAAAATGTACCATTTTTACTAATATCTAACTCCTTTAGATTCACAAGGCTGGCGATGGTGGTTGGCAGGTTGGAGAGGTCATTGTCAGGCATGCTCAGCTTCTTGAGTGCTTGACAGTTGAAGAGTTGCTAAGAAAGACGGAAAAATAAAGAGATTTATTTAAATAATTTTTTGGTGAACTTCCCAGGCCCCATGAATCAAAGTGATGAACCCGATCATATGCTCTGGTTTTCAGTGTTGGTGAGTAACTAGTTACATGTAACGGCGTTACGTAATTTAATTACAAAATAAATGTAACTGTAATCAGTTACAGTTACTAAGAAAAAATGTGTAATTAAATTACAGTTACTTATGAAAATGTTAAAGATTACAAAGGGGATTACATTTGAATATTTACACACATCCACATACAGATTTAATTGATTTCTTTCCCAAATTGCACTGACTACTCTGAGACATACGGCCCTATAATTTCTGCGATGCGGACAACACCGACTTTTTCATAGAATCCAGTCATAAAAACGAAATTCCTATAGCCTAACGTGGACAGAATATGCCACATTTTGGACGAATAAATCAAAAGTAGGTAAGTACACTTGAATCAAAACGCGATATGGACTAGTGTCTGTGAATATTAAGCCGCAAAAAGACAATATATGAATCCTGCACGTTCTGCGTGTCTGTGGCCCGCTATTTTAATATTATTATTGTACAATTGCCTGCTGAATGTACTAAAGCGTTTATTTCGCCGAGTTCACCATTCGATAATTAAATGTCGAATAAATCATGAATTGGTTAGTCGTGGCGATGCTTCGGCTTGCGGCTCACCGAAAGTATAGAAAGTATTCATATCATTTAGAAAGTATAGTTTTGTTAAATCTTGAGTATTAAAGTCATGTGAGAGATAGATATCAGGGCAAAATAAAGAGACTGAAAAGAAAAATGGAAGTGAAGGTGCAGTTCAGGAGATAACTTTTAATTATTTTGCATGTCCCCAACCTAAGGATTTAAATCTTTTTTTATGTGAGGTGCATACAAAAAATAGGGTTGTCCATGTTTCAGAATTTGTTGTGGGTGTATGAGTGTGAGATTTCCCGGCCTGAATTTTTTTTCCCAGTCCGCCCCTCGTGGAAATTAATGGCGCAGACATGCGGTTTCATTTACTACACATAGGCCTACTGAAGCTCACGGTGTTTTCAGCCTCTGCCGCCTCAATATATGAGTACATGAACACATAAACAATCTCTAGAACTGCTCTGAGTCACTTCATGAGCATTTTACTTATTTTGAGAAAACTATCATCATATCACATACAAAGAGACACCAATGTTTCAAAAAGACACCAATGTTTCAGGAGTTTAGTACACAGAATAGGACACATGCTTATTAGATAACCGTATTTGAGTTGATGTATATGCTTTTATTTATTATTATTTTTAATTCACTATTTTTTTCCCAAACCATTGTTAGATGCAGTGTTTCCTGTAGTTATGCAAAGATTTGGTTTCAAAAAAGTAAACAATTTCTTATGATTTTAAATCTGCATTGAACTTCAGATCAATTTCAAAGTAAAAGGTAAAAACTAAAGTCTGATTTTGTGGTGGATGTGTTCAAATTTGATCATCTTAATTCAAGTGATGAAGGATTTTGAAAGTCTGACAGTGTTGAGCACTACTGTAAGGTTAACCCTGCATGGTGTAAATGTTTGAAAATGATTAACAGTTGCAAATAAACATTCATTAGAAATGTAGAAAAGTAATTAAAAAGTAATCAAAAGTAATCAGTTACATTAATAAAGTAATTGAAAAAGTTACACTACTATTACATTTTAAATAGTGTAACTTGTAATCTGTGACCTATTACATTTCCAAAGTAACCTTCCCAACACTGCTGGTTTTATCCTGTCTTGTTGGAAATAAAATAAAAAAGACAATATGTAATACTAGGTGAAACTACATTTTACACTTGTAATTTTGAAAGCCACTTAGCTCTTCTCTTATTTCTGTGTTACCCTGCTTTTTTATAGGCAACTTAGGACAACCAGTGTGACAGCATTCCCACAGATGGACAAGCAGTTATTTAAAGTTTCTTGTGCCATGCTATATTCATACAATCAATGTTTACAATCGATCTCATGAACTTATAAACTTGTTAAAATTCTTAAAATACTTTATGAAAAGGACATGAAAAGGACATGTCCTACAACCTCACATTACTTCTCACTTCCAATTCATTCAGTACTATTTTATTTTCTTTTCTTTAATAAATACACAAACATGTCAACTCCATCACACAATCTGTTTAGTATTTTTGAGCTGACAATCAGTTTGAAACCATCCTGTAGTCTCAATTAATTAATTCACTGAAGAGAATACTAGATGCGTAACTATGTTTAAAAGATTAATCCAAAATAATTCATTGATAAATAACTTATTTCAGTTCTGTAGCCTTTTTTGTCCTAGTACTCAGAAACTAGAACCTTGGCTTGATATATACACTGTAAGGTTGAATGTCTATATTTTCTTTTTTTAAAGAAATTAATACTTTTATTCAGCAGAGATGCATTAAATCATTCAAAATTTACAGTAAAGATGTGCATAATGTTACAAAAGTTTTCTATTTCAAATAAATACTGTTCTATCAAAAATTTATCAAAGAATCCTAAAACATGTATCATGGTTGCTACAAAAATATTAAGCAGCAAAACCATTTGCAACATTGATAATAATATCACATATTTCTCGAGCACCAAATCAGCATATTAGAATGATTTCTAAAGGATCATGTGACACTAAAGACTAGAGTAATGGCTGCTGAAAACCTGACTTCCTAAGATAAATAACTAGCCCAGGGCAAGTTCTGTATGAACAGTGTTAAACATGAAACAAGATAACACTATGTTTACCATGGGTTTAGAATGGCACCTCAAGAGTTAATGCACCTCAAATACTTATGACTTAAGCACTTATCTAAAGAGTATATCAGAACAAATGCTACCAAATTCAGATACAGTTTTGCACACAATATGGGAGCTGTCCATGGTCCTGTTATATTCTGGCTACTAGATACATTCGACAAAGCCTGATTTACCTTAACCAATGTGAAATACCAAATGAAAATACTGATAATATTAATAAACTTCAATTATGGGACACTTTTAGTGCTTTACAAGGAAACAATCACATTTAGTGCACTATTTTTCTGTACTGTTACACTGCTGTATAAGATGATGTTGAGAAGTTGACATATCCACTGTTAGGCAGATATTATGCATGTTTAAGCTGACACTTGACAACTTACCTTAGGCAGCTCCTCAATCTGGTTGGCGTCAAGGTAGAGCTCTTCTAGCGTGCGCTCGAAGCTGAAGATCTCCTTAGGGACCTGCTGCAGGCTACAGTGGGAATAATCCAGCACTGAGATGACCTCCTCCTCCCCCCGGAAGCATCGACAGGGCACCAGGCGGCCAATGATCTTCCTCTTAGTAGTCATCTCCAGACACTGCACTGTGGGACGAGAAAAGAAAATAATATTCTCATTTATGACAGAAAAACACATTCTCATAAGCATATAACTGATTCACTAAATCACACACATATTCACGCAAATAACTTTCTACATAATTGAAGCTGGTATAGTTTAAATGCTAAGCATTGTACAACAAATTGCCGAGTACCACTGTGTCTCTATAATTGGTACCAAAAGGAAATTGTCTGGAGCTTTGTGTTTTATTCGAGCTGAGGTTGAGCTTTTTATTATCCATGAACCTTATGATAGGCTATCATTATCTTCACTTATTACATGGCTCTCTGGAATACTTGCCTCTCATTGGTCAATCGTGGCATTGAACCGTCAAATATTTGTGTGTAATGATTGCTAAATTCTATATTTGGCAAGTGGTCATACATTCATGTCAAGTCAAGTCATCTTTATTTATATAGCGCTTAATACAATACAGATTGTGTCAAAGCAGCTTTACAGTGTTAAACTGGAAAACAGTGTGTCAATAATGCAAGAGGACAATAATAAACAGTCAATTTTTCAGTTAAAGTCAGTTCATAATTAATTCAGTGGCATCATCATCCAGCTCAGTTCACTTCTCTTTAAATAGTTTATGTGTTATCAAGTCGAAAATATTGCCAAAAATGAAGTGTCCCCAGCTAGGCAAGCCAAAGGCGACAGTGGCGAGGAACTAAAACTCCATCAGAGACAGAAATGAAAAAAAAAAAAAAAACTGGGAGGCCAATTCTTCTCTGGCTAGATGAAACCAGCATGGTGTGGTTTAATTCCAGGCTGCAACACAAGTCAGATTGAGCAGAGGACTCTTCTGGTTCTCGTAGTCTTTGCTGAGGATCTGACTCTTTTCATGACTCTATCACACCCTTTCTTTTCCTATCAACATAAATTTATATACTGTAGATAATTGGTGCCATTTCTCAACTTCATCTCAAGTTGTAAAAGTTGCCACTGAGATAATAATTTTTCATTTTAAAGTGATTATAAACCTTTTGATAAGTGGTTAGAAGTTCAGGAGTCTCCAGTTAAAGCATGAATAGAAAAACATTGCTTGAAAAACAACAACAAAAAAAGTAATAGACAGAAAAATCTGGATGAGAGAGCACTTAAAACAGAAAATAAACATGTTATTACCATTGTAGTTAAATTTGTTAGATAACTAGTTCATTGAAAAGTAATTTGAGATATCAGATATAAATTAGTGCTGTCAAACGATTAGTCGTGATTAATCCCATTCAAAATAAAACTTTTTGTTTACATAATATGTGTGTATTATGTATATTTATTATATATATATAAATACACACACATACAGCATGTTTTGAAAATATTTACATGTATATATTTATATTCATATAATTTATATAATATATATAAATATATTTAATATATAAACGTAACATATTTTTCTTAAATATATACATGCGTGTGTATTTTTATGTACATGTGTATTTATAAATACATAATAAATATACACAGCACACACACATATATTATGTAAACAAAAACTGTTATTTTGGATGCGATTAATCGCGATTAATCATTTGACAGCACTAAAATAATAAATAAATAAATACATTTAAATAACAGTAATTTAAAATAATAGTATTTAAAAACAACAATAACAACAATAATATTTAGCAGTGTATGTGTTGCTGCTAGGCAGATTGTTTTCTATGTCGTAATGAACTATATCTCAAGGTAATCGGCAAGTTAGCTAATAATATCAGATAAATTTAAATCAATATTTCATGTTCATGTTTTCTTTTTTATTTTGGCAATATTGGTGTAAGGAGCAGGATAGTCAACACTCAGCCATTGCTGCAAAATAATCATTTTCAAAAATAAAATAAATAAAAATATTTTACAATCAAAAATAAATGTTGTAATTTTCACTTACGTATTTATAGACTAAATTGTATTGTCCCCAGTCATGATATTGCAATTACTGCACATCAGGCAAAACTGATTTTTGTTTCATAAAAACCAAATAGGCTAAATCATGATATACTTTTACAGGCTTTTTTTCATTTAATTTAGAGCAAATAAAAAAAAGGCCAGACTCAAACCTTTACCCCTATATATGAGCACAAACAACACCTACTATGCAGTACACAGCTACAACATTTAAGACAGAATCTGTAGGCTACAGTCACAGATTTCTGAATCACCAATTTCTCACTACAAACTATCAATCTGATTTCCATAAAGAAAATCAACCTCATATCTTAACTGGAAAAAAAGTCTCATCCTGCTGGAAAGGGTGTAATTAAATAAGAGCCAGAGATGGTAGAACAAACCAGATCCCTTATCAAATTAACCACATCCCCTTAATTTGAACCATGAGCTGAGCATCGTAAGGTGACTGATAACATAACATCGGCCCTATACGACATATGATGATCTGACATAAAGGTTCAATGCTGTACTTCAGAGGTGTTAGTGCGCAGTAACCTGTCTCATAAATCAAAGCAGTTTATCTGATTTAGTTTGTCATGAAAGCTCATTTAACACCCATGAGAGAAACCCGTCGGGGAGCCAATCGCAAATATCAGTCAGCAAAAAAGGAAGCAGTATAACACAAAATTGCTTATATCAATCAACTGTGACGAGATATGTCTCTACTGCCTCTGTCCTGACAAGAAGCCAAAGAGAGAGAAGAGACACGACAGGCATCGTAATGTTCTTCAGGGATGGAAACGTGCTGCTAAAACAATGTTTGAGAGGGCATTAGGGAATAATGTCTGAAATGAAAGACAAGCTGTGCTAATGCAGAGTACTTTTGTCTCTTGCAAATGCAAATTTATCACTGATAATTAAAACATCCTCCACTCAACAAAGAAAAGCAGCAGCTCTGGATGAACAACTACACAGAGGATTCTGGAGATTAAAATTTCAGGAAGAGTTAGTGTAAGAGAGTGGATATTTTAGGCTGCTTGACGGATATTTGAACACTGCAATCAAATATTATCCTGCTATATTTAGGCCTAAATTGTACATTTATGCATTTTAAATTGCATATAAAATTACTGTCTATTTGAATTAAACATTTTACAAGAAACAGGTTAGATTTATATACTAATAAACTGTATGTGTTTTAAATAAATAATCTGATTTATATATTTATCATCAATAATGTGTAATGAAATGTGTTTATGCGGTTTAAGGTAAAAAAAACACATTATTTTCCACATACTGTACATTATTGTTTCTCCTCTATGCCCCGCCTTTCTGAAACGCGTCTAACTTTACAAAGCTCATCGGTCTGGAAAGCAAGGTGTGCTGTGATTGGCCAGCTATCCAGTGCATTGTGATTGGCCGAATACCTCAAGCGTGTGACGGAAATGTTACACCCCTATCATACTTTGATGCCCTGTCCGGCCGGTGCGACGAGACAAAAACTTTAAAACCCATTATAAACGAGGCATTTGTTGCATCCAGTAGGGACATAATTACAGATTATAATGATTTATACTGTCTTTTTACACATTGCATCGTGCCGCGTAAACATAAAACCATGCCTGCATTTGTGATCGGAGAAATGACAAACAACAAGCGCGACTCTACACTGCTCGAAACTCGCGTTTGAATTGTCAGAGGCAAATCATTTCAATATAAAAAACGTACTTACAGTCTGTGAGTCAGAGCAGCTGGCATTGTAATCTACTCTACCAGGATCAGGAAACAGTCCTCCATAAAATGTGTTGCACACATCTGAGTACTTGGGTTGAACTGTTCTGGAACGGTGTTGTAAATACAACTTAACCACTGATTTCTAGTCGTGTCCTCTTTTGGAAGGCCAAACAAAGTAGTTTCGCTTTCACAACGAAACACAGCATCACACACGGCGGGCTTGAGTGAGCGGCGGCCGGTGGGCTAGAGAACGGTGCGGCCGGTGGATTCGACGAAGGAGCGTCCAGCGGGCTTGCGGCAACCACATATGACGACCCCGGGCTGGACTCCGCTTCATCCACGGTGAAAGCCGATCCGGTGATCCACAGCAGTTACAGTTGATGTATTTCCTCAGTGACCAGCACGGATCAGCTCTAGGCATGACGAAGCGGATATCGTTCTCTTTTGGAAGGCCAAACAAAGTAGTTTCGCTTTCACAACGAAACACAGCGCCTTCATGACATGGCGGCAGCAACAATACTACCTTCTTTCTTTGCGTGTACATTTGGGCGGCGTTATGCAAATCTTCCCACATCGTGACGTAGACATGTGGGGGTGTGTTAGAATGAGCCGTTTTAGGTAGGCGTGGTTGACTCTTAACTTTGATAAAGAATATCTCTTTGGATTTGAGACTTTAGTCTTTGCAACTTTACAGATCTTCATTATGCACCAAGAGCTTGTAACACTCCAAAGAGAAAGGAAAAATTTAAATCCCATCATATGACCCCTTTAAATTTAGGCCTAAATATTTTTTGGTAACACTTTAAAAAGAGGTTCCATTTGATAACATTAGTTAACATGAACTAACAATGAAGAATTTATTCATCTTAATGTTAATTTCAACATTTACTATACATCAGGGATCCTCAAATCTGGCCCACGAGATCCACTTTCCAGCAGAGTTTAGCTCTAACCCTAATCAAACACACCTGAGCATGCTAATCAATGTCTTCAGGATCATTAGAAAATCACAGGTAGCTGAGTTTGATCAGGGTTGGAGCTAAACTCTGCAGCGCATTGGACCTCCAGGGTAAGATTTGAGGAACCCTGCTATACATTATTACAATCAAAAGCTATCTGTTAATATTATTTAATGGACCCGAGCTAACATGAACTAACAATGAACTGAACATGATTAATAGATTATAAAAAAATTAATAAATACTGTAACATATGTATTGCTTGCTAATGTTAACGTTAAATAATGCGACCTTAATGTAAACTGTCACTTTAGTGTATGACATTCCTCATATGGGAAATACAAACTGTCTTCTATTTGAATGCATAAACATGTCACTTCCTCTCACTGATGAAATCC